AAGAAAAGAAAAGAAAAGAAAAGAAAAGAAAAGAAAAAAGAAAGAAAAGAAGACCTGAATTCAATCCTCAGACCCTCCATGATGGAAACAGAAGACTAACTCCTGCCAGTGTCCTCTGACCTACACACACACACACACACACACACACACACACACACACACCAAAAGTAAATAAACAAATAAATAAATGTAAAAAAAATTTTTTTTGAAGTCATTCATAGTGGCACGTGGTTATAATCCACACTGTAGAGGCAAGACAAACAGATTCCTGAGGCTTCCTGGCCAGCCAGCCCGCCCAGTCAAATCAGTGAGTTCCGGGTTCAGTAAGAGACCCTGTCTCTTGGATATCCACCAAGAAAGACACCCGAGGTTGACTTCTGCCTCCATATGTACACACAGACGGGTTCACCCAAGAACGTGTTCACACACATACACACATGGACATGCACACCTAGGTATAGGCGAGCACGGGCTCTCAGGGTCCCAGCGCGCACTCCTGGGCAGTGAAAGTTCCTCCGCTACTGAGGTCTACTCAGTTGATCCCGTCCCTAATTCACCCGTATACCTTCCTCAGGATGTGAGGTCCACTGGCCACTTGGACCACACGGGAAGCGTATGAGGGACGGCGAAAGCCAAAAGGCTGAGGCAGGAACATTGCTGTGAGATTGAGGCTAGCCTGGGCTGCATAGTGAGTTCCAGGATAGCTTAGTCCATAGAGTGAGACCCTGTCTATAAAAACAAAACAGAATAAAACAAAACTCAGGCCAAGCTGACTAAAAGCACCTGCTCTCCATACCCCAAACAGCAGCATGGGGAGAAGAAAACACACACACACACACACACACACACACACACACCCACACATACACACACACACACACACATACACATAAACACATACACACACATACACACATACACACACACATCCACACACACACATGCACACACACACATACACATACACACAAACACATACACATACACACACATACACACACACATGCACACACATACACACACATACACATAAACATCCACACATATACACACACATGCACACACATACACATACACACACATACACACACACACACACACACACACACACACACACACACACATACACACACACACGTACATGCTCACAGGTATTGAAGCTGAAGCTGGTGAAAAACCCAGTGCCCTTCACTCTCTACTTGCATTTTAAACATTCTGATTTTAGACTTAACTCATTATTGTGACCAGCTGGTTTGCAAAGCATAGCTTCCCCAAGCATCACTTTTAGGGACAGGCCTTGTGCTGGGGAAAATGACAAGATCTTAATCTGTCTATGAGCTGATCAGGAGGCCTGCGGCTCCTCCCCACCAGCAGATCTTCAGTTGCTCCTGTGCGCGATAGGGAAGCAAGAAAAGGGTGAATGGGAAATGAAGACCGATGCAAGTTCTCGTTTTGTTTTGTGGCTGGTGCTAGGGATTGACCCCAAGCTTATGTCTGCACTCAGCACACTACCACTGAGCTGTACCCCAGCCCAAGACAGCAAAAGGGTTTTCTTGTTTTTTTGTTTTTGTCCTCTTTTTTTTTCTTTTTATTTATTTTAATTAAAAGAAGCATTTCATTACAACAGCATTAACCTATTCAATAACATTTTTCTGAGCTAGGGTACATCTCTTTCAAAATTGGCTGTACATTTCTAGGTTTACAGATGAATTATTACACTTATATAATCTTTTACTCATTATAAACTCTATAAGACATAAAATTAAATGAGGTTCCAACGTTTAAAAAAGATCTCCACTGCGTTGTCAAAACACACAGTTTCATACAGAAAAATTCATTTCAGGGCTCTTGACATTGAGACATTTTCACATGAATTTCTAATCTCTATATACATGACTATCACTGGTCACAGTCACCCACCATCTGAGCTCCTCGGCATCTGAGCATGAATACAAACTTGTCAGGTAGACAGCCTTCCTCTCCCACTAGAGCCTCCATACTCTGCTATCCCTGCCACTGTCCA